TGTGAGTTAATTCATTAATCTGGTGCTTGCTTTTCTTTATCTGACATTTCACTAGGCACTAGTTTCTAGAGAGTCTAGTTCCACATTACTATTGCAATTGGCAAACCTCTGATGCAAAACCCAGATTTGTTTATATTTTAAATAAAAGTAGCAATAGCGTTCCATTATGTATGTGTGTAGATAGAGGTATATAGATACATATATGCCCATATTTTCTTTATATAATTACCTACGTTTGGTTTTTAATTTTGGGGCCATACCTAGCATCCTCTCATTTTGATGCTTGGGGATTACTCAGCATTGGAAGTAAAATATGAGTCAAACATACAAGTAAGGTGCTGGGAAGATCACTAATCCCATGTTAGATGCCCAACACCACATGATTCCCAAGCATTCCTGGGAATAATCCCCAATCACTGCTGGGTGTACCACTCTCCCTCCTTTCCTCCCCCCAAAAAACCCCTAAAATGTACAACTAAGGTGTGAAACAGGAATTGCACTGGTATGGACTGTGGGTATGCACCATGCTCTTGTCGGGGCTCATGGAAAGATTCCAATATTTCTGGATTCTTCTTGAACTAAATGAGTAATCAAAACAACATCAGAATGGTCTGCGAAGGAAAACTCAGTTTATGGCATGCACAGGGAAGCTACAATGATTCTGCAGATCTCACTGCCTGGACAAGAGAGCAGAGGTATAAATTTATCTATCTAAGGGGACCGCGGTGCTAAGGGGAGAAAGGGGAGATTTCATACGATAAGAACCTGATGTCTTTCTCCTCTAAGAGAAAAGATGAGATTCTCGGATTTGAGAGACATTTTGACAGATACACCTGGGTTATACTCTCCAAACTGTATTCTTGTGGGTCATAAAAAAGGGGGAACTGTTTTTTCTTCTATGATTAAGAAGAGAACAAGAGTTTAGGTTTTTTTTTTAACTTGATTTAGGGAGGGATGAAAGGAATAAAGCATAAACAAGAATTTGTCTTCAATCTTGAGAGAGCCTTGAGTGTTCTTTGCTCAAAAGAATCTGGATGCCAGAGTCACTATCTTGTGGAAATCATTTCTGAGAATCTTGGGTTGGTCTGGTTTAGCTACTTTAACTTGGTAATTAAGAAAATAACAGCTTTTTCCCTCTGGAAAGATGGCAGCCGCTTCAGAGCTTTATGGAAAGCCAGGTATGAGCCGGTTGTAATGGGGCGACTGAAACCTCATGGGAAGGGGGGCGTTCCCGGCTGGTCCTCCACGCCCTACTGAGGTCAGGAGTTGCCCCCCACGAGCGGCTCTCCGGCACGGCCATGGCTCCAGAGCACAGAAACCAATCTCGTAATTATCTGACTCTCAGCAGAAATACTTCCAGGCTTAATAAGTAAAATACCAGAAATCCAAAATCGCGCGGCTGCTATTGCGGCCGCGTGACATCATTTGATTCTTGTAACCAGCTGTAGAAAACAAATAATTTCACAATGCCCTTTCAGCATGTCTGATTTGGGACTGTAAACTCTAAATAATAATGGTGCATCTTTTGTAGAAACAATGGATCTGATCAAAGTAGATAGAGTGTTAACTAGAATTCATCTGCCTCACAGGCATTGGGAGGGTTGGGAGTGGGGGGTTTATTGGGGTTCTTGGTGGTGGAAAATAAGTATTGGTGAAGGGAAATGTGTTTGATAATTGCATGACTGAGACTTAAACCTGAAAACTTTGTAACTTTTCCCACAGTGATTCAATAAATAAAAAAAAAATTAAAAAAAAAATAAAAAGAAGAAAATAACAAAGTGTGTATTTTCCTCCACTTTAGATTTAATGATTCAAATTTACCTTGATAGGAACCTAAGTTTTATGTTTTAAATTCTTACTTTATTTTTCACTTTTCATAAATTTTTTAATTTTCGAAATATTTTTTGAGAAGTTTTTAAAAATTGATTGCTAGTTTTTGAAAAAATATATGTTTAGGGTTTATCACTGTTGAATATTAACCCTAAGTGTTTTAGGCTTCATCAGTGAATTGCCCCTTTTCTTCCTGCCAGAGAAGCTTATCGTGCTCTTGCTAGCATCCCTAATTTAGTCAACGTGTATCTTTAATCTTTCCTTTGTATTTTTCCTTTCATTGTCACAGTTCCCCAAGTCAGTTTTGATTACTTATAAGCATTCAGGGTCTTGACAAAGAAGTCTGACCTTCTCATAAGTGGGCGGTCATGTGATCTTTTGACGTTCCGTGAAATCCAGTCGGTAACGGCTCTAGTCCAGCAGTTGTCTTCAAATCTCATTACGTGTCCAGCCCATCTGATTTTCGATGTCTTGGCAAACGAGACAGCGTCCCTGATTCTTGACTGTCAACGGAGGTCAGAACTCCAGATTCTTTCTCTCATTTGAGTGAAACATGATACTCCAAGCATAGCTCTTTTAATTCCTCTTTGGGAGACCTGAATAGCATTCTCATCCTGTTTTCATAGGGCCAGGTCTCTGAGGTGTATGTTAATGCAGGAAAAACAGTGGAATCGAAGAGATGTGCCTGGAGCCAGAGGTTCTTTGTCCTCTTAGCTATTTCTTCCATGCTCTTGAAGGTGTTCCAAGCCACTCTCTTCCTCCTGCGCAACTCAGGTGCCAGGTCATTTGCATGTTGACTTCTCGACCTAGGTACACATAACTGGTGCATTAGGAGATGGTTGTTCTGTTGAGAGCGAATGGAATGTCAGGTACGAGACAGTTTATCATAAACATTGCCTTCATGAGATTCAGCTGTAGTCTGACTTTTCCACACTCACGGTCGAAGTCGCCCAGCATTTGTGCCGCTTGGCTAATGTTTGGTGTTATTAGAACAATGTCATCAGCAAAGCGGAGCTGGTGTTATTGCCGACCATCTGTCTTCACTCCCATTCCTTCCCATGCATGACATTCTCGAGGATTTCATGGAAGAGTTTTGGTGAAATGGTATCACCCTGCTGAACCCCTCTCTTGACATCAATGACCACCTCCCTGTAGAATGGTGATATCCTGGTAGTGAATCCACAACAAAGCTCACGGAGAATACTGATGTATTGAGTTTGAATGCCCTGTTTGGTTAGGGCTTCGATGACTGCTTCAGTCTCAATAGAATCAAAGGCCTTCTTCAAGTCAATAAGTGTTAGACAGAGTGGCATCTTGAACTCCTGAGAAACCTCAATGAGTTTGGTTATCATGTGGATATCATTGATCGTGCTGAATTCTTTGTGGAACCCAGCTTGCTCGCATGTTTGTCCTTCATCTAGTGTTCTGCCAATCCTATTTAGGATGACTCGAGTGAACAGCTAATAGATGAGACAATAGGCAGACCGGGCGATAGTTGCCAATGTCGTGGATGTCTCCCTTCTTGTACAGTAGTACAGTCCTGCTGTTTTTCCATTGGGACGAAACCTTGCATTCAGACAGGTAGCGTGTGAAGAGCCAAGCCAGTGTATTGATGAGTACTGATCACAGGTTCTTCAGGTGTTCATGTCTGACCTTGTCTGGGCCAGGTGCTGTTCGCTTTTTTACCAACAAAGTGGCATGTTGGATTTCGGAAGGGAGAACGTTGGGAACGACATATCCATCCTCTGGATCTTGGCATGTGGGCAGGTGGACGTGTCTATCAAAGAGATCTGAGTGAAGTCATGGATAATCTTCTCCATTGCCCTTTTGGAAGATGTAATAGATCCATCAGGACGTTGGGGGGCAGTCACCTTGGTCTTGTAGTTGGCGAAGGACAGGTGGGCGTTGCGAATGCTTTTCCCAGCTTCTGCCGCATCTGCCAGCATTGTTGCTCTTCTCTCTTTGAGGTCTTCCTTTATCACTTCTCTGTGCTGCTTTGCGAGCTCGGGCATTTCCTTGCGGTTGCCTGAGGCTTTCGCCAAGCCATGTTGGTGAATGAGTTCGAGAGTTTTTGAAGACAGGCGTCTTTTTGTGGCTCTCTCTCTCTCATGGCATTCTTCGCACAATCATGGAGGTGCTGAACCAGTTGATTGTATTCCTTGTCAATGTTGTCAATGACAGCATCTTCCCATGTTGCCGCATATATAGTGCCAAAGAGCTCCCAGTTGGTGGTCATTCTTGGAGTTCTCTTCTTAAACTTTGCAACCCTTTCTCCCTGCTCTGTGAAGTAGAATTTTGCACAAAGGAGACGGTGGTCTGATCCCATTTGGAATTTTGGGACAACAGTGACATCAGTCAGGCAAAACCATCAATTGAATATGATGCGATCAATTTCGTTGTGGAGCCGTCCACTGGGAGACTCCCATGTCCAAGGTTTAGATTCGGCCTTCTGGAACTGTGAGTTACCATGGATGGTCTTGGTCAGCATGATGAACTCAGACTCTTGTAATAATTACCTTTATCTCATAAAATTGTAAGAATTGCTTGGCTTGATGGTTCACTCAATGTCATTAGGGTTGCTATTTTTTCTTTCTCATTTTTGTGGATTGTAGACTCCCCATATCTTTTCCAGAAACGACAAAGAGGCAATACAAACAATAGCCCTTTTGTTACCTGTCTTCAAGCTCCATAAAAGTAGAGGAATAATATTGGATTTTACATAGAATCACAGTGAGCCTGGATGGGCTGTAGTGCCCTGAATCCCATCCTATTTCCTACATAAGAGCCACTGCCATGTATGTCTACTGTGATTCGGACAAGCTAACCTCACACGTATGAAAACTTGGGCATATTCCTACTCTGTCTGTAAAACAGCTTAGGAAAGTATTAGTCATTGCCTTCTATAGGGGATATTATATTATGTACAAGCTTTTAAAAAATTTTAAAAATAATGTAGGAGTCACTGTCACTGTTCTCCCGTTGTTCATCGATTTGCTCGAGTGGGCCCAGCAACGTCTCCATTGTGAGATTTCTTGTTACTGTGTTTGGCATATTGAATACTCTCGGTAGCTTGCTATCCGAGAGGGGCGGATTGAATGAAACCCGGTTCGGCCGGGCTGGCTGCGTGCAAGGTAAACACCCTACCACTGTACTATCACTCCAGCCCTAATATTCTCGCTTCGGCAGCACATATACTAAAATTGGAAAGATACAAAGAAGATTAGCATGGCCCCTGTACAAGGATGACACGCAAATGTAGGAGTACTGCTATTTATTCGGCCATTGGTTAAGCTGATTGAACTGGGCATGAACTCCACCTTACTTTTTTTTTTTTCTATTCCGAATGTTAATTTTATTTTATTTCTCCCCTTTTTTGATTCACCGTGAAATGCAGTTACAAAGCTTTCATGTTTGAGCTTCAGTCATACAATCATCGAATACCCATCCCCTCACTAGTGCACATTTTCCACCACCAAAATCCCCAGTGTTCGCCCACCCCCATTCTAACCCTTCCCCTTCCTGTGTGGCAGACAATTTGCCCCATACTCTCTCTCTACTTTGGCTACATTCGATATTTCAACACCAGTCTCACTACCACTCAAACCTGCCGAACGGGCAATATGCAAAAACTTTTATTACTTCATATGAGCTCCTTGTGCACTTGTACTTTGAATGGCTTGAATGTCCACTATAAAAGCAAAGATTCTCTCGCAAAACCCCCCAAAATTCCAGAATACTACCTGACCTGCCTAATTCTGAGAGAGTGACTTCAGGAAGAGGTTGTGAATATGGCGAACATGAAACGCCAATATGAAACTTGAGCAAACCAGAAGTAGCCTTTGTCTCATGGTTCTTACTGTCTGGCTAAGGCCTCACCAAGATAATAAGGCTATTCCATCAGAAAACTGAGCTAATTAGTTGCAATTTCTCAACATCCTTGGAAAGCTTCTGAAAACTAATTACTGGGAACCAGAGACTGTAAGAGAATACACACCCCGCGGATATGTAGTTAATACACGCAACTCTCACAGGGGCTGATGGGACAGGCTACTTAATTTCCCCGAAGAGGATGCATTGGGTTTCCCCCTCCCCATCTTTTAAGTTTTCCTTTTTTAACAGCTTTGTTAATTTAGGTTAAGTGGTTGGGTTGTCATGGAAACCAGTATTCCTCTCAGGCTGATTGTGTCAAAGGCATCATTAATCTGTTTTCTCAACTGCCTCTTCCTCATCCATCTAATTGCAGCCACCAGTTCCCCGCCTCCCCCCACTTGGTTGACATCATTTTAGACATTTTTAGGACACCATATGTGAGATTCAGCGATGTTTATTTTCTCTCTCATAATTTCATACCACATTGTTAATTGTCGTTCCGCCCAGAAGAAGATGGCTCCCCCATGTGGGAGAATAACGTCTCTAAAAGTGGGGTTGAAAGTCTTAATTTAACCCCTTTTATCATTTGCACCTCACTTCCATCACAAACAAGGAGGCTCTCATCCCCTTGCCTCTTCCCCTTTTTCATCTGGGATTTCTTTTTAGGGGCTACTAAACAACCATTTTTCTTGCTATTTTTGGAAACTGCGATTTTGAAAGAGTGAGGAGTCAGTGCAGTTGGTAGAGGGTAGATAGAGGGAGAATATTTCAAGCAACAACACAACTACCCTCAGGCTTGAGACGGCCTTGAGGCAGGGAGAAAATATGGAAGCCAAGGCATGGTTTCTCTCAGAAAATGCACAACACGCAAAAATAGTCCCTCCCATGCCTGATTTTTGCTTTGGTGTCTATCTTGACACAAAACTGGCCAATAAGGCAGTGTGAAAATGATCAGTTTTTCTTCTTGCAGTTCTCTCCACGAAAAAATTCTCAACCGATTTATTCTGTTCCTCATAATTTATTCTTTTCCTGCACACCTCCACTCCCCCACCCCACCCCAGAGGGTTTCCAGATTCCTACAGATACTAGTGTATGAGCACCTCGGACAATTTGACTGTGGAAAAGGCCCACGTGAGGTGTGAGTTGTGTACATCATTTGAGGTTAGTTCAGCAAGTGGTCCATTTTCTCTACTCCCTCTCTTCTTGTCAGAAAATTTTGAGAATGGTTGACTATGCCACCTTTTACCTTTGGAAAGATAAATCTTATTTTCTCCTGACTTTTTATGTAATAATGCCAAAAAAACTGGGAAATATGTTTATTTTCAGTTTGCCTGAAATATAATAAATATAATTTAGCACACAATTCATGCATTAAGGTGAAACTTCTTTATTTCATAAGAGCTCATAAAAAGTATATTCGTAATACATTTTTTGTTATATATAATTCATTCTCAAGGTTCACATCCTTTCCTCAATCAGGACTCATTACTTCATTCTCTATTATAAGATACATTTTTCATCCAGGTATTTATTGTAGCACATATACCGTTTAATTGCAGTTAGTTTGAAAGTATATCTCTTCAAAAAAATAAAAATAAAAAAAGAAAGTATATCTCTTCAAAACATGAGTTATTTAAAATCACACTTCCTTTCTCTCTCTTCCTTCTTTCCTTCCTCCCTCCCTCCCTTCCTTCCTTCCTTCCTTCCTTCCTTCCTTCCTTCCTTCCTTCCTTCCTTCCTCCCTCCTTCCCTCCCCCTTCTCTTTCTTTCTTTCTTTCTTTCTTTCTTTCTTTCTTTCTTTCTTTCTTTCTTTCTTTCTTTCTTCCTTTCTTTCTTTCTCTTTCTCTCTTTCTCTCTTTCCCAAACCTGGTTCAACTCAGGGCTTACTACTGACTTTGTGCTCAGGGATTATTCCTGGAGGGGCTTGGGGCTCAGGGAGCCCTGTGGGGTTCCAGGAATTGAGCCTGTGTCTGCCATGTACAAGACAAATGCCCTATCCACTGTACTATTTCCCCATCCCCTAAATCACATTTTTTTTATCTTTATGCATAGCAGAATGCAAGACACATTCTGGCAAATTAGTTTTTGAAAAATAACAAATAAATTAATGTTGATTTAAGACCAAACAATTTTGTTGTATGGCTACGGCAGCTTATAGAAAAGCAGAAATGCCTATTGATCTCCATAGCCAACAGTAGTCATAGCACTGAAGCCATTTAATGTGCATAATTCTCTAAGAAGCATTTCTATTTTTGGTGTGAAACCATGTGTAATGCTACCCAAGCAAGCTGGTTGCTGTCTTAATCCACCTAGTATATTACAACAGAATAATATTGTCTGGATGGCTTACAAACAGTAGAAATTCATTTCTCATAGTCTTAAAGACTGGAAGTCAAAAGTCAAGATGCTGGGACCAGAGAGATAGTACAAAGGTTAAGACACTTACTCAGCTTGTGCCTGAGGAAATGATCCAGGTTCAAATCCCAGCACCACATTTAGTGTGGTTTCTGAGCACAGAATCAGGAATAGCCAATGAACATCTCAGGATATGGCTTGAAAATAAAAATTGAAATGGCATTAAATTTCATGTATGGTAGGGGTCCACTACCCTGTCTCTATATGGCTATCATTTTGCTGTGTCCTCATATGGCAGAGAAGGCAGGAAAAAACACTTTCAATTAGTTTTATTATTCTTATTTTTTGGTGGGGGGAGGTGTGGGAATTGGGCTACACCCAGAGTTACTCAGAGGCTATTCCTGGCTCTTTGCTCAGGAGTGACCCCGGGTGGTGTTTAAGGGAACATATGCGGTGCTTGGGCATCAAACTGGGGATAGCTGTGTGCAAGACAACGACTTTACCTTCTGTACTATTTCTCTTGCCCTCTATTTTTTCCACTTGTCTTTGTTGTTTTGTTCAGTATTTTGTTGTGTTTTTAAGGACACTAATCCCACTCCTGAAGTTCCATTCTCATCACCTGAGCAACCTTCGAATGTTCCCAAATCCAAACTGTCGTATCGGGAGTTAAATTTTGACATAGGAATTAGGGAAACATTCAGTCTATCAAAGGATAAGTTTGTGCCACTGTCCTTCTCAGCTGAACATACTGACGCCAAATTGGCGCTGACGTCTGAGAAGGACTACCCTTTTGGCTAAGGCTGCTTTAAGGGAGCTAGAAAGAGCAGGTTTGGCAGGTGTGATGGGGAAGGTAAGTGGCCTTACTCACTTTTATTATTTCAGGTGCTAGTTTTGAACCCAGGAACAATTCAACACACACTCAAAACAGGTTCTTTACTGCTGAGCCATATCCCAATCCGAGGTAAGGTAATTTTTAAGTTATATTTTTCTCAGGTGGCTTGTTTTTATGTGCAACTAATGGAAGTAACTTGTCCTTTCTCTCAAAGAGCTGAGCAAGAAACGTTCTTTAGCTGGGCTGCTGAGCATTGGAGGTAAGTCAAATAGGCAACAAGAGAACTTAGGAACTAGAATGAAATGCAATATGAAAAAGAAAATTCAGATTTTTAAGGCAGACTTGAGATTTTAAGACAAATGAAGTCACAATTTGTGCCTAAGAAATCACCCTGTGACTCTTGAAACATATTGAATAACAATTAATTTTAGAGAAGAGCAGAAATCAGGGCTACTCACCTCTGCTCATATCTTTCCCTGTTGACTCCCATTCAGTCTTAGTCACCTTTCTGTACACTGATTCTATCTTTTTCTTTCCTTCCCTCCTCCCATTCTTTTCTTGGTCAGCATTGTCAGTATCTTCACAGACCTTGATTCCTCAAAACACTGTTGGGTATTGGTCCATTTTGGCTTCCCTCTACCTCTTGGGATACTTTTACCTTTAGATCTCCAGATAAAAGACATCCCACCCCCCCCAGTTCCGTGATTCTCAGAAGTGAATGTCTATTGTAAATCGTATCATTATTGCTTTGGGGTAACCTCATTCCCCCTCACTTATCATGTCCGTTAGATGAAGGTACTGCAGAGCAGACTTTGGGGGGAAAAATCTCTCTCAATGCCACAGTTGGGGGTCTCCCTTACAGGCAAAACAATTCCCCTAGATGCTTCCCCAATAAAAAGAACTCAGAATACTTTTGGTCAAGGTCTAATCCTTCTCTTAATGTTTCTGGAATCTGTTTCCAGAATTCATATAGTACATCAGTTTTGGAACCAACTACCCATTACTTAAAATCTAGTTCTATTTTCACAGTATGGAACTGCAGTAGCACTTGGAAGCCACCAGATGGCACTATTGCAGGTAGCATGCCAAATCCCCAGCGTGTTCCTGCAAATTCAGCTTTTCTCTGCTATCCAACAGCAAAGCATTTCCAAGCCACATTTCTTAAGATGAAATGGTGAAAAGGAAAAAAAAAAACAATTACCATGAATTTATACAGGAAA